CTTGTCTCGCAGAGTTTGAAAGCGCGGTGCTGGTAGAGGTTTGGTGAAGATGTCTGCCAGATGATCCTTTGTAGAGACAAAGTTGACAATGAAGTCCCCGGAAGCGACCTTGTCCCGGACGAAGTGATAATCGATCTCAACATGTTTAGTGTGGGCGTGAAAAACCGGATTGGCAGCCAAGTATGTTGCCCCTAGATTAACGCACCATAGTTAGCCGGTGTGCTAGAGTGAAGGCCCAGTTCCTGAAGTAATGAAACAATCCATGTTACCTCGACAGAGACATCAGCAAGCCCTTTATACTCAGCTTTTGTTGAGGACCTGACGACTGTGCATTGCTTGCGAGAGAACCATGAGATAAGATTATCTCCAAGAAACACCGCATAGCCACTGGAGGATTTGCGGTCAACCGGACATCCGGCCCAGTCAGAATCAGCACTAATGTCGGAGGTCAGTGACGCCCTCAATCGTAACCCGTAGTCCTGTGTACCTTTCACATACCGAAGAACCCGCTTGAGTAACGCCCAATGATCTTCAGTGGGAGAGTGCATGAACTGACACAACCTCTTAACGGAGTAAGAGAGATCGGGGCGAGTGATAGTAAGATACTGAAGAGCCCATACGATGCGTCGATATTGTGTTGGGTTATCAAATGGGTCAAGTGACGATGTGGCTGGTTGTGTGACCGCAGCTGGTGTTGCCAGGCTTTGCAGTTGTTCATGCCAGCTCGAGTCAAGATATCCTTTTATTTAAATTCTTTGAAAATCCCAAAACATTAGACACACAAATTTATATGCTTTTATTTTAAAAAATAATAATAAATTTATAGGTGCATATATATCATATTTTAGTATAATATTTATGTACATTAAATTTTGTTTTCATTAACATATACAAGAAGCATTATTATGAACATACTATAGAGTAAACGAAAGTACATATGATTTTTATTTAGTTTAATGTTTATGGACATATAAAATAAATATTATGAACATAATACATGGTGAATGTTATAAAACATGATGCATCTATAGTACAATAATGCTTATATACATCAAGCTTTGTTTTTATGAACATTATAAACCTACTATAGAGTGATACATATGGGCCCTGTTTGATAAATAGTTGTTAGCTGATAGCTATTAGTTGTTAGCTAATTGGGTTAATTAGAGGGTATAACTAGTTGATAACATTAGCTCATTGTAGAAAGGTGTTTGGTAAATTAGTTGTTAGCTGATAGTTGTTTTGTATAATTTCTTTTGTCAAAAAGCTAATTGAAAAAGTTGGTTTGAACAGCTCGCTTTTTGAATTTTAGCATCTTGGAGTTACAAAAAGCTCATTAACCAAATACTTATATTGATTTTTTTAAGTCAAACAATTAATAGTGTGATCAAATAAGACAAAATTGATTGATGAGCTAACTATTTTACCAAACAGGGATGTACATGAGTTTAGTGTTTATTCACATTAAGTTTTAATCTTATGGACATGTAAAATAAAATAAATACTATAAAACACATGATGAATGTTATTAAACATGGTAATATAATGTTTATGTACATTCAGGATTATTTTTATGAGGATACAGAAAGAATATTATAAACTACCATAGAGTGAACGAAAGATACATATTATGTACATTTACCTTAGTATTTATGTACATTAAAGTTTAAATTTGTGTACATAATTAAAGAACAAATATTATAAACATAATACTAACAATCTAACATCGTTTTTGACCAAGATTCACCATGATGCACGATATAATTTGCCTCTCCCTCAAAAGATAATTATTCACAACCCGAATCTATTCTAAGCTTCTAGCATCAAGTGAATCGGACCTACTGGGTACGAATTACTGTACACTATGGTGTTCATTCAACTGCATAAAATAAGATTCCGTTGCCGGGAATCAAACCCGGGTCTTTCGGGTGAGAGCCGAATATCCTAACCAACTAGACTACAATATGTTCTTCCTACATCAAGTGAATCGGACCTACGAATTACTGTACACTATGGTGTTAGCATCAAGTGAATCGGACCTATTACTGTACACTATGGTGTTAGCATCAAGTGAATCGGACCTACGAATTACTGTACACTGTGGTGTTCATTCAACTGCACAAAATAAGATTTCATTGCCAGGAATCGAACCCAAGTCTTTCAGGTGAGAGCTAAATATCCTAACCAACTAGACTACAACGGATTTATGTTTTTTCTTCCTGCAAAGTTATATAGACTTAACATAGCTCTCGCCATGGAAAACTATCCTCACAAGATTTCAGTTGCTGTTTTCATAGCAGCATTCATGCCTGATTATGTTCATGCACCCTCCTATGTCAAACTTTCCTTTTCTTGGATGAAAATGACACTACTGTCAACTCCTTTTCAATACCCTCGTAGGCTTTAAGATCACTAAAGAGCTTGTTCGTGAAGAGTGTTCTAAGATCTCTCATTGCAGTCACTTTCATATCCCAACTTGAAGGTTGTCTCAGGGACGCTCCGACCGCGTCGGGCACGCCCACCAACGACCCCTTTGGCTGGCCAACCACCGCCATTTAAATATTGCGTAATTTAGTCACAGACTTTGTAAATTACCCAATTTAGTCATCTAAATTGTAAATTTCACTCAATTTGGCCCTCCGTTACAAAAGCAATCCAATTACCATTAGGGCATCACCAATAGGGGGTTCATCACCAACTTTTGGAATAGTAAAATCTAAGGAAGCTTTTGACAAAATTTATCTCATGCAAATGAGAAGTTCATGTGAGAATTTTAAACCCCCAAGCTTGGCAGTGTGGTCCCACTTTACACCTTCCCTTATGTTCCCTTTCCCTAGTTTTTGTGATTGAGTGAGATAGTGGATGATGAGGTAGATGTTGGGGCCCATAAAAATTTGAGAAAAAATCTCCAACTATTGAGGATGCCCTTGATGAAAGGGCAAAAATGTCATTTGACTGATCCAAAGTAATAATGAATCCTACCAAAAATGATCAGTCACATGTCAATTTTTCAACATCTCCATAAAAGATTATGAAGGTTGGAGTTGGTTAGAAGAATATACCTATTAAATCATGGTAAAAACCTGTGTGAGGCCAAAAGTCCGTGAGACGGGTCGAGTTGTAGACAACTGAGTGAAATGTTCAATGAAGGTACACTTTGTAAGTATCACAATTTCAGTTACAAGTATTACAATATCTATCATAATTAATGTTTTATTTTTAATTACTTTCTACAATAAGTATTACAATTTCTTTCAGAAGTAACATTTCGTATATAAATATTACAATACTTACATTAAAATTACATTTTACAAGTATCACAATTTCAGTAATAAGTATTATAATATTTACCATTAGTAACAATTATTTTACTCTAAATAGTATCACAATTTTATAAAATACCATAGATTGAATGAAAAATGCATATGATGTATATTTATCTTAGTGTTTATGTACATTAAAGTTTAGATTTGTGTACACAATTAAAAAACAAATATTATAAACATAGTACACACGATAATATTGTTAAATGTGATACACTAATTAATTCACACTTAATATAAACATATTAATAAAAGGGGGATTCAAGTTGAAAGATTATTATTCACAACTCGAATCTATTCTAGCATCTAGTGAATTGGACCTGTGTATTAGTGTATAATTATGGTATTCCTTCAATAGCGTAAAATAAGTGTATAGCATAAAATAAATTTCCGTTGCAGGGAATCGAACCCGGGTCTTTCGGGTGAGAGCCGAATATCCTAACCAACTAGACTACAACGGATTTGTGTTTTATTTTCCTGTAAAGTAATATTTATATATAGTATTAACATATTTCATTTTCCAAGTAATATTTACATGTAGTATTAACATAGCCCTCGCCATGGAAAACTATCCTCGCAAGATTTCAGTTGCTGTTTTCATAGCAGCATTCATGCCTGATTCTGTTCATGCACCCTCCTATAGTCCTATGTCAATCTTTCCTTTTCTTGGATGAAAATGACACTACTGTCAACTCCTTTTCAATACCCTCGTAGGCTTTAAGATCACTAAAGATCGAACTTGTCCGTGAAAAGCGTTCTAAGATATCTATGACCTCTCATTACAATCACCTTCATATCTCAACTTGAAGGTTGTCCCGGGGATGCTCCGACTGTGTCAGGCACGCAGTGGTCAGCACGCCCACCAACGACCCCTTTGGCCGGCCAACCACACCATTTAAATATTGCGTAATTTAGTCACAAACTTTGTAAATTATCCAATTTAGTCCTCTAAATTGTAAAATCGACTCAATTTGATCCTCCGTTACAAAAGCAATCCAATTACCATTAACGAAAGGGGCAAAAATGTCATTTGACTGATCCAAAGTAATAATGAATCCTACCAAAAATGACCCCTCACATGTCAATTTTTCAACATCTCCATAAAAGATTACGAAGGTTGGAGTTGGTTAAAAGAATATACCTATTAAATCATGGTAAAAACCTATGTATCGAGTTATAGACAACTGGGTGAGATGTTCAATGAAGATACACTTTTTAAGTATCACAATTTCAATTACAAGTATTACAATATCTACCATAAATAATGTTTTATTTTTAATTCAAATTGGTAGTAAACTTTCTACAATAAGTATTACAATTTCTTTCAGTAGTAACATTTCACATATAAATATTACAATACTTACATTAAAATTACATTTTGCAAGTATCACAATTTCAGTAATAAGTATTATAATATTTACCATTAGTAACAATTATTTTACTCTAAATAGTATCACAATTTTACCTATAAATATTACAATATCTATTATAAATAACCTTTTATTTATTTCAAATTTGTATTAAATTTTCTGTAATAAGTATTATGATTTTTATCATAAGTAATAAGCAACTATTTTAGATTTCACCCGTCACACGAATTAACATCCTTTTGGCATTGCCTAAAAGGAAAAAGATTACAAAATGTATAATATTTTAGTAACTGAAAGTAAAGGAAGATGACCAACAAAGATGCCTCAAATTTTGACTATCTTAACTTCTGAACTAGACTAATATCTTCTGAGCATAGAGTAAAAATGAAAATTATGAGTTATGACTCCCAGCCAAGAATAAAAGATAATGCAGAACAGATATCACAAGATGTCCCGGGGATCTAAACATAAATGAAGAAACAAAGTTCTACTAGGAATAATGCATGATTACCAAATTTCAACTTCGCGATGACCATCCTCGGTTGCACAAGCTCTAAACATTCCGGTTGTGTTAAATGGCATCGTGACCTCTCCAGTGGCAGAAACCGCGACCAGACCTGCAGTGCCCTTCGGAGCGCACTCCTGTATGACGTAATCGGCTGCCTCCTCGAGAGAAATCCCTTTGTACTCCATCAGAGCGGCTACATCTCTCGCTACAGTAGCACGGATAATTGCTTCCCCTTTACCGGTTGCAGAAACTGCACAGAATCGATTGGCATATGTCCCAGCACCGATAACGGGTGTGTCACCTATCCTTCCCACCATCTTGTTCACTAATCCACCAGTAGAAGTCGCAGTAGCCAAATTACCATTACCATCAACGGCTACACATCCAACTGTTCCAATTTGGCTATCCCCATTAGGAATCGTTTCTTCTTTCTCAACTTTAGGCATGGGTTGTGTATAATCGATCTGTTGGTTAGAAATAGAGCATTAGTATAGGAGTCGGGGTAGTTTCCTATGGATGAACTGATTTTTGGATATGGAACAGATCGAATTATCTACTTGCCCAAGAAAACAAAAAGTTTGGTATATTGTTTTTTTTAGTACTACTGACTCTGTTACAGTGTAGTATCTGTTCATAGCTACTAGCACAAAGAGTCAATATCGCCCATAATTTATAACCAAACATCTTAGATTCAAAGTGCAAGAGAAAAAGTAGAGTAAACGAAAACAACATACAAAAGAAAGTATGAATGTTAGATATTCGAAGCTAAACGAGGATAAGAAGAAGGGAAAGCAGCAGACCTGAACTCGGTTTGCTTCTTTTGCTTGCTTTAGCCTCTCAATATTCTCGGGAGTGATGAAATGGCTAGTATCCACAGTTTCAACACCCTAGACAGTGCATAAAAGTACAAAAGTAGATTTTTTAAAAGAAACCAACAAAACGATTTCAGGAATTACACTCTGAGCTAATTATTCTAAGAATATAAGTCACTAAGATTTATAGTTTCTACAACTTAAATCCAACATTACAGGATTTCACGGACCTGTTCCCTTGCAAATGCCTCGGCCCCCTCGAAAGCAAGATATATATGCGGAGTCTTCTCCATGACCAGCCTTGCTAGAGACACGGCATTGACAACTGTAGTGAGACCGGAAACAGCACCGCACCTCTTCGTATTGCCATCCATGATGGAAGCTTCCATTTCAACGGTCCCGCTGTTTGTCAAAACAGAACCTCTACCGGCATTAAAGCATGGAATATTTTCCAGTTCGCGAACCTGAAACTCAACAGTTCAATATAATTACTGCACAACCAATATTGTTCTCTTTGATATGTCTAATTTCCAATCCAATCTACCATTATATGTTCAGTTGAACTTCATTTTCACTGCATTGGATGTTCATTTCAACTGAATTGTGTGCTTAATTTAGATGAGCCTAATTCATCATCAGAGTGAAATAAACACGAATGTCAATTCAAATGATCATGAGAATAGAATATATTGCACCATAATCAGAGAGTATTGAAATGGAATCATCATAACATAACCAATAATCATTCAAAATACACAATTTATATACAAATGTTCTCAATTCGAACATTCAGTATGTAAATTGTGAAGAGTATATAAAAATTTGTGAAGATTCAGAATGTAAATTGTTAACATTCAGTATATAAATTGTGTATTTTTTTGAATTTGACATAGAATACACAGTGATTTTTTTAAAAAAAATTTCTGGAAGATGATATTTATGTATGTATAACTTGAGTTGAAATTTGGGCAAAATAAGTAAGAAAACATTGAAAAGAAAAGTGGCAATAGGAAGGAGAAGGAATAAGTTAGTATGTATGTATGTGCATAGTGCATACCACGAGTTCAACGACATCCAAGGGGGATTTGTTGGCCTTGATGGCGGCGACGCCGATCTCTAAGCAGTGGCGGAGGGCGGCCTCTCTGGGCTGGCGGCGTTGTTGAGGGAGATCCCGGGGAATGTCACCGGCGCCACCGTGCAAAGCGATAGCCCAACCCATAGTAGACACCTCTAAGGCTAGCTCCTCTGCTTTGTTGATTTATAGGAGGGAGGGAAAATGAGGGCATCAACGCCACGACTGTTGACCGCAGTTTTGGATGGTCGCCACTCGCCACACGTGAAGTTACTGCTGACTCGTTTGCCAATGTTACTCCACAATCCACATAAGATACCACTATTAAATTTAGGGAAAAGGTGCAATTACACTCATCAATAATTTATTTAAGTGTAATGAAGTCCAAAAACAAATTAATGACCTGCTATCACATGTCATTAGGGTTCAGGTCACTTACCGGCGAATTTTTTGGGCAAAAATAAAAATAAAAAAATATAGTGACCGGTGAAATTTTCGACAAAAGAAGTGATCAATGAAATTTTCGGCAAATCTGGGTCGGTTGCTGGTCACCTTTTTTATGTTGAAAAATTCGCCGGAAGGTGGCCTGAACCCTAATGACCTGTAATAGTAGGTCATTAACTTGTTTTTGGGCTTCATTGCACCTAAATGAATTGTTGATGGGTATAATTAAACCTTTAAAAAATTTAGCGGCTTAATTGACTTTTAAGTTAAAATTTGAGGGTCTATTTGACCCTTTTCCCTTAAATTTATTTTGAAGATACTATTAAATTTATTAGCTACCGCTCTATACGTGTGTGGGTATTACATGCTTTTTTTTTCCAAAAAAAAAAAAACTATGAATTAATGATTATTTTGGTCCTTTGACTATAGTGAAAGTATTAAATTGGTCATTAATTATCAATTTTGAGCAATCAAGTCCTTAAGTATTGACTTTGTGTCAGATTTGGTGTTGATTGTGTACATGCCGTCCTTTTGAGAGTAAAATGGAACTTTTACTATTTTCTCACATTCCTACACTTCACCAGCTGCGCATTGAGTAAAAAATTCTCAACCTCTTTATTCTCCCAAAATTTCCAATCTTGGTAAAACTAATTTTCTTTCACAACTTAAATTATTCCGGCAACAATCTGTGGGTGGTGGATTGTACGAAGGACTGAGCAGCACATAAGAAGGTGGGAGTCATGTATGGGACAACAGACGTAAGTTAGTTTCTTGTTATAAATTTGTGCGAAATGTGTGAGAATAGATAAGGATGAACAAAGTGAGGAGGATAAGTAACTTTTAATGATAACCATGAAGGTTGTCCTTGGATACATGATAACAAGTTTAAACTCAATTCTTTAATTATAATAGTGATCCTATTTAATCCCTTATTTGAAAAGTTGTTATGAAATTGCACAGGACATTCTACTCTCATCAATTCAAATGGTAAAAACACATGGATTCATCTTTCAATCCTTCTCTATTTCCCAGATTATCTTACCTTTAAGAATTTTCAACACAAAATTTTTTGACCAATTCGGCTATGGCCAGCTCAACAAATTCCTGAATTCGATCATTCAAAAACATCATTTTTTTTCATCCTCTTCCTTTTTCTTGTACTAAACCTTTTGAGTAGAAAAAGTTAAGAATATTTGCACCGCTCATGAAAAAAATTTATGTTAAATATTTCACATGTTGTTCTTGTGTGGATTCTCGCGTAGCTTTATTTTGGAAGAAGCAAATGTAGTGTTTCTTTTGAAAGGAGCACTTCCGACAATAATTGGTCGGAAAATTAGCCGACAGGACCGAATGTGATACAAACTACATAGTTATGCACCTAGTTAAAAAATTTTAATAGTCAAGAACCAAATGGGATTCATGTATAATAAACAAAGTACCAAAAGTGAAATTTTCTCTTTAATTTGCATTTTGCTACATAAGTAAAAATAAATAAATACATAAATATAATTATACTTTTCTCCTGATAAAATAGATAAAATATTTTAATGATTCTGAGATAATTTATTAAAATTACAAATACATATATGACACTAATGTTTAAAAAAATGATAAGTGTACTTTTACCACTAGTTCAAATTTTGTTGACAAAAAAAAATGAATAAAAACAGTACTCTGTTATATTTATTTATTTTTTTAATCAATCAAATCACGTGAGGTTAGTTAATTTCAAAAAAAAATGAAAACACAAAATTTGAATACATACAATTAATTTGCCAACTTTTAGATAGAGTAAGACAAAAAAAGATGTAGGCGTCAACATTCATGGGGAATATTCTTAGTAGCAATTTCACCAAACAACGAGATTGAGTTTGTTGGAAATGGGTTCCACCCTCACTCAAAAATGACTTGATGTTAAGATAGCTCCACCACTCTATATGTTATTCTCTTATTTATTTATTTATTTTTTTTTGGGGAGGGGGAATTATAGAACCCCTCCCATCACACTTGGGGATGAGCGGAGGGCGGCTTCTCTGGGCTGGCGGCGCTCTTGAGGGAGATCCCGCGGAATGTCACCGGCGCCACCGTGCAAAGCGATAGCCCAATCATAGTAGAACGCAAATTATGTCATGAAATCGTGTTCACCGAGAATGGTGAACACAAGGCAAAACGACGTTGTTTTTAGGTAAAAAAAAAAAAATTTCGTAGATGTGGAGTTAGCGGCGCGCGTTTGATCAAATTATGGATTTTCTGTTATGCGCGTTTGATCATAATCTCATAACAGAAAATTCATAATCGCATAACAGAAAATTCATAATCTCACAACTGAAAATTCATAATCTCATAACAGAAAATTCATAATCTTATAACAAAAAATTCATAATCTCATGGTTCCAAAGTGAATGTGTAGGCATGGTTCCAAAGTGAATGTGCAGGCATGGATTCATAATTTATGAATGTCCGTGATTTCGGACGGGAATGTGTAGGCATGGTTCCAAAGTGAATGTACAGGCATATGAATTCATAATTTATGAATGTCCGAAATCTTTGTTCACCTCAAATTAAAGTGAAACCGCAAAATGTGAAAATAAAGAAGAAAAATCACGCAATTAATTAAGGAAAAAAAAAAAGATAACGGTGTATTAACACCGTTGGAACCGTGTTCACCATGAATGGTGAATACGGTTCCATGGCATAACGTCCCTAGTAGACACCTCTAAGGCTAGCTTCTCTTCTTTGTTGATTTATAGGAGGGAGGGAAAATGACTAAATGAGGGCATCAACGCCACGACTGTTGACCGCAGTTTTGGATGGTCACCACTCGCCACACGTGAAGTTAGTGCGGACTCGTTTGCCAAGGTCTACTCCACATAAGATACCACTATTAGTATTTGTCCCGTGCGATGCACGGACTAAATATTAAAGATTTATTTGTAATGTTAGAATAAGTAAAAAAATATTTTTAATAATGGTATTTGAAGTACAGAAGAAGAAAACATGAACCACAATTTAATTGTTTAAAATTACATTTTTATTAAGTATATGACAAAATAATTATGATATTGTATTTATAATATTTAATTTAATAATGAGAAAATTACACTTTTGGTCCTATGACTATAGGTCGTGACTTTTAAAATTAACAATTTAGTCCTTTAACTATACTTTTTTTTCACACTTTTGGTCCTTCCGGCCAAATGTCGCCGGAAAAACGTAAATCTTTTTAAATTATTTATTCATGGGGGCAAAATGGTCATTTCTTCTTCTTCCTTCACTTGTTTTGACGAAAGTGGTTACATGTTGAAAGTGAAGGGATGAATGGAAGACTTCATTGATGAACACAGTGCGTACAGAATGGATGGATAACAAAACGTAAAAACTTGATAGAAGAAGGAAAATAACAAACTCTTATACTGGAAGCAAAACAGAGAAGAAAGATGCGGTTATGGGGTTATAGGAAAATGGCAACAATGCCCTTCTAGTTATACTAGCTACTAGACGTACTGTTGTCTTCTTGGAGATGGTTCCTTCATCACCCCCCCGTAAGCTGGAGCATGAAGATCTTGAAGGCCCAGCTTAGTATGACATTGATGACATTGGCTCCATAGACTACAAGCAACCGAAAGGTATCAACATGGCCTTCCCTTACAACAACGCCAAACGAAGAAGAAGAACTTTAGGAGCAATTCCCGTGGCAATGTTGAAGAGAAGATGCCCACTTGAAGCACTCCCTGGAGAAATACTTTCACTATATGAAGCTTCAGGGTCCACACACATAGGTATTCCACAGACCAAACTTGAATTAACCTTCCTCTGTGGCTTAACATTGAGAATTTCAACTTTCGATTTGGCCTGAATTTTAACTTGATTACTCTCATGAAATAGTGGAACTCCACCTCTGGATCTAAATAGTGGAACTCCACCTCTGGATCTAAATTCGGCTCGATCATTACCTAAATCCAAGCTTCGAGTTAAAAAGGTTGAACTAGGCTTTAACCTTCCAGGCCGCCACTGCTGATCACTAGGCTTGGCATTACCAATTCGATCCTTAGCAGGAGAAGACTGTACCAGCAGCCTCCTTTCCGGTGTGCCTCTCCTCACACTGCTCAGATTATTCACAGGCTTAGTATTACTAACTGGCAGCGAAAAGGATTCTCTCTGAAACGAAACTGACAAACTTTTTGTAGACGTCGTTAGCATCAGCTTCGTCGCTGAAGACATATCCACCCTCACCGGCGTGGCATCTCCTTGAATGAAACCTATATGGTCACTAACTCCGTAGATGGCTGCATTATGTTCTACATAGTCAATTTTCTTCAGATCAATATCGATGGCAATTACATGCCTACACCTTTGTGTAAATTGGACTGCATTTCCACCAACTCCAGTGAAGAAATCAACTAAAGTACCATTTGCACAACGATGTGCATGATGCTTCGCTATGGACTCAGGGGTAACAGAGAACCATCCTTCTTCATCCATTTGAATGCCTTCATACCTTTGACACCAGTATTTACTCAAACCAGAATAAAATCATTCAATTATCGACGGGAATTGAAACTCTCCCCTTCCTACGGAGAGAATCTCACTCACTAGACCTGAGATTCGGTGTGGATTTTCTACATCTTCTGGATTATATTTTCTCTGCGTGAACAGGTTCCGATGCGGAACAGCTATGGATTTCGCCATAATTGGAGATCGAGCGATCGGATGAGCTCCTTCCTTCCCCTGCAGAACGGTTGTGGAGGTCGCCTGAACAGAAGATCGACTCAGAATGAGAGACACAGCCTCTGCGGCTGAATCGGAGGACTACTCCATCTGCTTCAACCGGTGTGAGCTACGAACTCCTTCCTTCCGCTGCGGA